CGTCCCAGGCTCCTACCATATATTTTAACAAACTGCATAAAGAACAAACGGTGTCAACTGTCCTTAGAAGGGTGCTGAAAAGTTCTAGAAGAAGTTTTTTTTTTTGCTTACATTTATGTATTATACAACAGTTTTAATTAGTTCATATTCATATAACAGATTCTTTGTATGACTGCCTTACAATTCATTTGCTTTCATCTATTTTGTTGAAGGAGTTGTAAATTAAATTTATTATTTAATTGGGATCCGTTTCTTTTGCCAGCCATACAATTAATTTGTCTGATGCACCCAGTACATGCCCAGGAAAAGAGAGACCATGAATTAAAAAAAAAAATAGTTCGAGATACAAAATCAGTCCTCTACACAACACATATAAATTAGTCCCTCTGTCTAGAGCCCCAAGGAATGAGCCTCCTAGGTGATGAATAAGCAACAAAAAGCCATGGACACTCAGATGTGTTAATCATGTCTCCATAGCAATCAAAATGCATTTTAGCACTGCTTCTGGGCAAGGGATCCAGGGGAAGCAGGACCTGATTTCAGGCTTGCCCTTCTGGAGAAGGTGCAAATTCTGTCGCTCCACACACGCCTTCAGATTGAGTCATAAACAGTAGAAAATTCAGAGCCTAAGAATTTCCACCCCCTGCAACATCAGGCCTTCTTGTCCAAAGAAAGGGAGCCTCCTGCCCCCGACAAAGCCATCAAGGGCATTTTTGAGATAATGGAAAGGATTTGCTGGGGTCACTGATTCTGAAACTGTGGTGAGGGCTGGAGAGAGAAGGCACCCTATGCCCCACCCTAGCCTCAGAAGACCATGTGGCCCTCTCCTAAAAGCCCTGGTGTGGACAGAGTTCTACTGAGACGACATGGGGAAGGGGGAGGCGATGATGCCAGGTGATGTTCAGAGCATCGGGCATGGGCTCATCCATTTTCACATCAAGCCATTTTTTTAATAACAAACTGGTCTTTGGAACTTTACCACATCAATAAGTGAGGAGGGGGAAATGTAAGTTTTCATTACATTTTTACATTCACTTCCGAAGCTTCCTCATGAGTGTGAGTGTGTGTGTTTTACATTTGTTATCACTGCACACCACTTAAAGCAATTAAAATTGCATTGCCAAAAATTCAAATTTTCTATTTGAGTGGTCTCCACACTTCTAAGTAGATGTGTGAGTGATCTTGTGACAGATGATATAAATTTGTGGTGACCTGAGGTGAATGGTTCTGAAATGTTTTGGTCCTCTGACTCCTGGCCCATTTCTCTGATGATGAACCATATCATGGCATGCGTTGTGCCCCGATGTCTCACCTCATCTTACCTCCATCCTTCTAAATATAAATCAAAGACATGAATACTCATTAATCATAATATTATTAAAAAATTAAATTTTTAGGTACTGTATGTTTTGTCTTTGAAAAACATATAAAGATTTATATTTTATAATAGATTATTTAGATCTTTAGTGATTTGTACCATTTGATTAAAGAATCAGTTGAGTTGATGCATTTATCTGAGTTATTATGGGCAGATACTTTTTTTTTTTCTTTTTTTTTTAACATTTTATTAGGGGCTCATACAACTGTTATCCCAATCCATACACACATCAATTGTGTAAAGCACATTTGTACATCGTTTCTCAAAACATTTTCTCTCCATTTAAACCCCCGACATTAGGTCCTCATTTTTCCCCTCCCTCCCCGCTCCCCACTCCCGCATGAGCCCTTGATAGTTTATAAATGGGTATTTTGTCATATCTTGCCCTGTCCGACGTCTCCCTTCATCCACTTTTTGGTTGTCTGTCCCCCAGGGAGGAGGTCACACACAGTTCCATGTAATCGGTTCCCTCTTTCCTACCCATTCTCCCTTTACCCTCCCTGTTTTGCCACTCACACCACTGGTCCTATAGGGCTCATCCATCCTGGATTCCCTGTATTTTCAGTTCCTATCTGTACCAGTGTACCTCCTCTGGTCTAGCCAGTCTTGCAAGATAGAATTCGAGTCATGGTAGTGGGAGCGGGGAGGAAACCTTTAGGAACTAGAGGAAGGTTGTATTTCTCATCATTGTTACATCGCATCCTGACTGGCTCATCTCCTCCCCGAGACCCCTCTGCAAGGGGATCTCCAGTGGCCTACTAATGTGCTTTGGATCTCCACTCTGCACTCCCCCCATCATTCACTATGGTAAGATTTTTTGTTCTGATGATGCCTTACACCTGATCCCTTCGACATGGGCAGATACTTATTATGATTGAAAAAAAACTTTTGTTTTAGATGGGAAAATAAACACAGATGGTGTTATATGGTCAGAATGCTTAAATGAACTTTCTGTTCAAAATAAAGGCCACTGAGTAAATCCCTTGCTAAAAAAGTCTTAGCCAGAAAAGAAAAAAAGGAAAAAAAAATTAAAAAGGCTTTAAAGTGTTTTCCTCTACTGGATAAAGGAGAGTACCTTTTCAGGATTTCCAGTTATTGTTTGAAATTTGAAAAGAGTTCTTAACTCCACCCAAAGGTTTTTTGTTTTTGTTTTTTTTAAAGGGCATAGGGAGTGGAGGGAGAGGGGAGGTAGGATAAAACTCATTCAAAGAATGCTTGCAAGATTTCTTTCATGCATATGTTTTTAAGTATTGCTATTTTGGCATTCATAAACTGTACTTCCGCTCTTTGAAGCATCCATGTGTATTCTTAGAAAAATCATTTTACTCATCTTAAGAGAGAATTTTGTATTTGTAGTCATCCTGAAAATAATAGGAGAAAAGGCAGTAAACACAATGAAATGTTATAGATTGTAAATGAATTATTTTAACATGTGGTTTATAGTTGTATTTGTTTTCAAAATAAAAATGCCTTGGCTCAGTTTCAGATGTGCCAAAAAGAGTATAAACTATAATTTGGGTCATTTGAGACTGTTCATAAGGTAACTTGAACCTCATTGCTGAGTCTCACCCCTGGAAAACCACTCAAATAATCAGAATTGAGTGAAAATGTTTAACACCCCTCCCTAATTCTGCTCCTTCGGCTGCCGTTGCTACTTCATGCATGAGCAATGGATAGCGGTCTGTTTCTAAAGAGATCGCAGTAGCTAACTCTCAATGCTCCTTTTGGTTGACAAGTCTAATTGTGCTCAGATCTCAGTTTGCAGATACCTTCTCTTCTAAATGTTAGCTAATGGTGGTGATAAATTCAGATCTGTTACTTGTTACTAAATATTAAAATTTAGCCATGTCTCATGAAAACCTTGAAAAATAAGGCTTAAAAATATAAATGCTTAGGTTCAATCCTGTGGTCACAGATACTGACTTTAGTAGAGAACAGTGTTGTCTTTTGGAATTTAAGTATACATTTTGTTTCATAATAAACTAAGTATATCGTTCCATCAAGTAACAATTTTAAAATAGATATTAATCACCTGTTACCATGACAGTGCTGGGTTAGGTCTGTGTGATGTAAAGATGAACAAACTATGTACCCTCATGCCAAGGACCTTGCAACAGAGTAGGAAGAGAAAGTGTAGACCAATAATTAGAATCCAATAAGCTCAGTTATAAAGTGATATTGTAGTTGGAGGACCAGAAAATGAAAGGACAGCTAAGTCTTGTGTGTGTGTGTGTGTGTGTGTGTGTGTGTGTGTAGAAGAGATGCTCCCAGGAGATTTCAGAAACATGGGATTTCAACAGAGGTTTTCAGCGACGAGAGATCCTGACATAAATAGACAGAGAAGGAAGGAAGTGTGTTCCAAACAGAGACATCCACTTGTACGAAGGTAGGAATATGAAAGGAAATAAGCAGTTGGGGAAAATCCTTTCTTCTTCTTTTTAGGTGGAGTTAAAGAACAAAGGCTAACCTTTTAATATAGCATAGGCTTTAGTGGGCAAGACAAAGGAGACAGCCATACTGCATAGTTTTATAAGATAAACTACTTTTCTGGAAATTGGATGGCTGGTTTTATATAACCAGCTAACGTCAACTCCATCTTGACTTTTAACCAAGCCTTATGTTGTAGTGTAATAAATAAATTTCTATGAGAACTTCATCAGGATTTTTTGCCTATGACCTTTCAGCAGAAGACTGCTAGCTAGACCTTCTTTGAAATTAGTTCTGAGTGGATTCAAACTACCAGCCTTTCGGTTAATAGCTGAGGAATTCACTGTTTACACCACCCAGGGTCTCTGATTCACACTGAAATGACCCGTTCTTAGATACCACTATTACAAGTAAAAGTATGACGATTCTAAATGGAGATTTGTATTTATTTCACCCATAGAGGAAATATGTGGAATGAACATTTTGAGCTGTTACCTTATATAGAAGCATTT